GAGGAGAATACTGAAAGTGCCATGGGCTGCCAAAAGAACCAATAGATCCGTTTTGGAAGAAGTGCAGCCAGAGTGCTCCTTGGAGGCCAGGATGGGCAAACTTCGTCTCTCATACTTCAGACATATTGTCAGGAGGAAGCAGTCACTGGAGAAGGATATCATGTTTGGTAAGGTGGAGGTCAGAGAAAAAGAGGAAGACCCCCAACGAGATGGACTGGCCAAGTGGCAGTATCGATGGACTCAAGCGTGCCAACAGTAGTGAGGCTGGCCCAGGATCAGGCAGTGTTTCATTCTGCTGTGCATAAGGTCGCTATGGGTCGGTACCAACTCAATGGCACCTAACAACAACAGCAACAACAATTCACAATACCACTTACCTGCTACAAGGACAGAAGATGTATACTTGTATTTGTTGAATTCCAAATACTCCCGAATTAATTCATTAATTAGAAGGTTTTCATGGGACAATGGTGGTCGAGGTTCACGGTCATCATCTAGGGCATTAAAAACTTCAGCTCGGATTCTTGCTTTTAAATGCCCTAACACGCCTTTTTTTTCCAAGGTGTCTTTTAAGACTGTTAATATAAAAATTACAGTATTAATACTTCAATCTTATAAGAAATCTTCATCATTTTTTGGTGTGTTGCAAAGAAAAAGACGTAAAATATATTTTTTTAATATATAAAAACAGCAACTCTCAATTTCCATTGTAGCAAACTGAACCATAACCACAGAGGTACCATGTTTATAGGTAGTCATGTTTGTTATGCAAAAATAAAGTTCCCATAGGGTAATGCTTTACTATTTCATAGAGCTGAATAAATTCAAGTTTCTTCCTATAACATCATCACTGTCAAGGGGTATAGTCTGATACTTTCTTTAATGAGGAACAAGGGGACAGAATTACAGTTACCATCCTGGAACCTTCACATAATACACAGTCTCTCATGTATTGTCAACAGCGTTGGTCACAGCAGACAATTTCGATGGGTCACTAAAAACCTCTGTTCTAGAACAAGGACTATTAAGACAACTACACACAAGAAGGGAAGGACGTGGCATGTCTTTCTATAAAAAAAAGTTTGGCTATCCAAAACTCTCTGGGATCACCTATTCATAAAAACTTTTTTTTGTTTTAAGACAGTTCTGAGTTAACTCATTAAAATAGCAAGATTTTGAATTTTTATCTAAGCATAGTTAGAAGCCTCATACATGAGGTTAAAGAGTAGTTGCTAGTTGCCATCAGGTAGGCTCTGACTGATGATGCCCCCACAGTGTAACACAACACTGGCCATCCTGCGCCAACTTCACGGTCGTTGGTCCGCTCAAGTTCCCTGGTGCAGTCCCTGTGTATTCTGAGTGCCTTCTAGCCCACGGGGCTCATCTTCCACTACGATGTTGTTGTTGTTAAATACTGTCAAGTCAGTTCCAACCCTGTATAGGATTTCCGAGGAACAGCTGGTGAGTTTGCGGTCCAGTGCTTACCCTACAAGTGCCACAGGGGACTCTAGTGGACAGGATTCGGTTGTGACCCATGCAGTTCTCCTTGGCTAATTTTCAGAAATCGACTGCAAGGTCTTTTCTTCTAGTCGTAGTCTGGAAGCTCTGATGAAATCTGTCCACTTGGGTGACCCTGTTTCCAGCATAACAGCACCACCCGAGACACCACTGCATGACAGACAGGTGGCGAATCTTACAGAGTGACCTTACAGATCTTACCAGACAGAGTGAGGGATCAGTATACTGAACATAACCTGGTCAGCTCTACAAACGTTACTAAGTGTAAACACTAGGATGAACAGGGAGGGCATGGGATTAAATCGATACCATACCTTGCAGTGGTCTGGAACGTTCGTTGTTCCGATAGTCCTTAATGGCTAAATACTTAATCCTAGATAATCCTGCAATGTCTGAAACATAGCAAGAGCTCAACAAACATTATCTAAGAACATTATAGTACTGTATACATTATGGTAAGAATGGCGAAACTTTGTCTCATGTACTTTAGGAATGTTATCAGAAGAGCCCAGTCCCTGGAAAAGGACATCATGCTTGGTAATCGGTCAGCGAAAAAGAGGAAGATCGTCAGTAAGACTAACGGAATGACACAGTGGCTGCAACAAAGGGTTCAATCAACAATTGTAAAGGGCAGGACTGAGCTTGCACCTCGTTCTATTGTATATGGGAAGGGTTGCTTCGAGTTGCAACTGACTTGATGGCATCTAATAACAATAACAACAGTATACTGTCGGTGAAATAAAATACTTGAATACTGTGCTGTACTAAAGGCACCAAAACAGTGCTCCGCAGTAATGAACCATAGAGGGAGCTCAGAGGCTTAACCACATAGGCATGAACAGAACAGAATGAATTTTTTAAAGCCTCAATAAACAAACAAAAATCTGGGTTATGGGCTCATAGCAATCTATCTAGACTTGTCAATCTCTCTCTCTTCTCCATATTTTAAATCATCCCCTCAACCTTTTTACAGATATGTAAGTACAGTTATCCCACAACCACACTTTGTAACAAGTCCATAAAAGAAAGGTACAGCCTTACCAAACCCCTGTTCTCTAAGACCATCTTTGGAGATTAGACAGAGAGACTGCTTTTTGCATTGGCAAGGATTCTGTTGCACAGAGCACAGTCTCAAACTCATCAGAGACACACAAACTGGTGAAGCTGACCTCACCCACACCTCAGCTGCCTACTCCAAAACCATGAGTTTTATTTTGCCATTCTGAGATACAACCAAATGTGGCTTTAAAAAAATGGGAAAGTGCCTAGAAAAGATAAAAGCTCATAAAGTGGAAGATAATTGGTTAGCCAATGCTCATGGAAGCAGCAGTCAAGAAATCAAAAGACATGGTGTATTAGGCAAATCTGCTGCACTAGACCTCGTTAAAAGTGTTCAAGAACAAAGAAGTTACTCTGAGGACTAAGGTGCCTGTGACCCAAGCCATGAAATTTTCCATTACTTCATATGCATGTGGAAGTTCAACAATGAATCAGTAAGTCCAGGGGAAATATCTATGCATTTGAATTACGATGCTGGCAAAGAGTACTGAAAATTACCATGAACTGTCAGAAGAACAAAACAAATCTGTGTTGGAAGAAGTACAGCCAGAATGCTCCTTAGAAGCCAAGATGGTGAGACGCTGTCTCTCACTACTTGGAAAATATTTTTAGGAAGAACCAATCCTTGGAGAAGGACATCACGCTTGGTAAAGTGGAGATTCAGCGAAAAAGAGGAAGCCCCCCCAAGAGGACAGACTGCCACAGTGACAGAAACAATGGCTTTAAACTTAACAAACTGTGAGGCTGGGTAGTGTTTCATTCTGCTGTACACAGGATTACCGAGGCACAACTGATTCAACTGCACCTAACAACAGCAACAACATATGTCTGTGAAGGGCAATCCTACTTCTCCAGCAAGCAACGCCTTCTCTGGCCTTCCATTTCATTTTGCTCATCCCTCTACTATGATTAAAATATTGCATAATCACAACTTGTCCAGAAATGGTTCTTAACCTGGCTTATATCCCACAAAAGATCTTTAAATCCTTAAAAACGTACACAGTATGATATATGATGTGGATTGTCCTGGAGAGAGGAAATAGATTCAAAGTATGTTCTGTGGACAGACACAAGCCTTTTTTTTTTTTTTTTTAAATCACTGTTCATCAGCCTAGTGACTCAAATAGAGAATTATATTTGCTGACTCATATTCTTGAAGTTCAGCCTCCTCCCCCACCCCAAAATCTCTTAAGAATTACTGATGCAGACCATGAGCTCTTTGAACATAGGAACTAGTTTTATTCTGGGCAATAATATAGCTCTTGGATCAACTATCAACACTCGCGGAAGTAGCAGTCAAGAGATCAGACGACGTATTGCACTGGGCAAATCTGCTGCACAGGAATTTTTAAAGTATTGAAGAGCAGAGATGTCAGCTTGAGGACTAGGGTGCGCCTGACCCAGGCCATTTCAATAGCTTCATATGGATGCGAAAGCTGGACAGTGAATAAAGAGGATCGTAGAAGAATTGATGCCTTTGAGTTGTGGTGTTGGAGGAGAATACTGAAAGTGCCATGGACTGCCAAAAGAACCAATAGATCTGTTTTGGAAGAAGTGCAGCCAGAGTGCTCCTTGGAGGCCAGGATGGCTAAGCTTCGTCTCTCCTACTTTGGACATGTAGTCCGGAGGAAACAATCGTTGGAGAAGGATGTCATGCTGGGTAGGGTGGAGGGTCAGAGAAAAAGAGGAAGACCTCCAACGAGATGGATCGGCCAGGTGGCATCATTGATGGACTCGGGGGTGGCAGCGGTGGTGAGGTTGGCCCAGGATCGAACATTGTTTCGTTCTGCTGTGCATGGAGTCGCTATGAGTCGGTTTCGACTCGATGGCACCTGACAACAACAATATAGCTCAGTGATTAAGGCAGGGGCTCTGAGTCAACATAGGAAGGATCCTAAACTCCGTCTCTTCCTAGCTACATGACTGTGGACAACCTGTTTCACTCCTTGGTGCCTTAACTTCTCAGTCTGCGAAAGGGCAAATTTTTACCTCACAAGGTTATTCAAAGTAATTACTTAGGTAAATACACAAGCAGTATCAAACCCACTACTGCTGAGCTGCTTCCATTTTATAGCAACCCAGTAAGACAGAGTAGAACTGCCCCACAGGAATTCCTAACTATAATATTCATAGAAGGAGCCTGCTACACCTTTCTCCCACGAGGGAGCTGAAGTTGGTTAGAATTGCGAACCTTGTGCTACTCACTAGCTACTCCACTTGCTACCATTGAGTCGATGTGGACTCACAGTGACCCTACAGGATACACAATTGCTCCGTGGGGTTTATTAGACTGTCTAGTTTGACCATAGCAGACAGCTTCATCTTTCTCCCATGGAGGAGCTGGTGGATTAGAACTGCTGACCTTGTGGTTAGCAGCCCAACACTTAACCCTCTTCACTCCCACCAAGGTCTCCTGTACCTACTCTTACCTACATGAAAATCTGCTTTATAAATGTTGTTATTGTTGTTAAGTGCAGTCGAGTCGGTTCCGACTCATAGTGACCCGGTATAGGCTTTCCAAGGAGTGGCTGTTGAGTTTGAACCACTGACCTTGTGGTCCACTGCACCATATAACACTGTACAGCACCACATAACACTGTACAAATGTTATCTGCTTAGTGACTGCCTCTAAGGAGCGTTCCATATTACAGGATGGAAGCGTGTCAAGGCCAGGGGCTTATCTGCCTCCAACGTTCCCCAGGTAAAAAGGTAGAACAGATCCCACAGGTTGTTGCTAAGGGTTCAGCATGGTGACCAAGGAAATCACACAGGACTGCGCCTAACATGAAGCATGGGTGTAGCATTCTAACCATCACCACCACCATTTTTTTTTACAAAGTGAAATAATCTTCCCAAACTCCAGTGTAGAGAGGCAGGCACTCGGTAAACTGGCCTCATCACACTTAGGGGCCAGTTCTGCCCTTCTGCAACCAGCTTAGCAACTGCTTTGGGGTGGCCCTCTACCATTCTCTAAGCCAAAGGCTCTCATCCAGGGATGATTTTGCCCCCAGATGACATTTGGCAAAGTTTGAGGAGGGGAGTCCTACTGGCATTTGGTGGGTGGAGATCCTGATGCTGCAAATCATCCTGTGTTGCACAAACTGTCAACCGTGCTGGAAGCACCCATGATTTACCATTCCTAAATCCTGGTGTGGCGCTGTGGGTTAATGCGCCACACTGCAAAGCCGTTTGAACTGCAAGGTCGGTGGTTCAAGCTCACCAGCTGCTCCTCGGAAACCCTATACAGGGTGGCTATGGGTCCAAAACAACTCGATGGCACTTAACAACAACAACAACAAGTAGTCAGTTTAAGGAAGGAGCTCTGGTAGCGTAGTGGTTAAAAATCGGGCTGTTAATCTCACAGTTCAAAAACTACCAGCTGTTCCTGGGGAGAAAGATGAGGCTTTCTCCTCCCGTAAAGATTTACAGCCTCGGAAACCCTGTACAGGGTCCCTATGAGTCGACACTAAACTCCACAGCACATAACAACAAGTCTGTTTGAGGAATCCTGGTGTGGCGCTGTGGGTTAATGCGCCAGACTGTCAAGCCGTTTGAACTGCAAGGTCGGCAGTTCAAGCTCTCCTGCCGCTCCTCGGAAACCCTGTCGCTATGAGTCGGAACCAACTCAACAGCTCTTCACAACAAGAAGTCGGTTTGAACCTCAAGGTTGGCAGTTCAAGCTCACCAGTCACTCCTTGGTGAACCTATACGTGGTTGTTATGGGTCAGAATCGACTTGACCGACACTTAACAACAATGCAGTCCTGGTGTGGCACTGTGGGTAATGTGCTGGACTGCACAGTTGGTTTGAACCTCAAGGTCGGCAGTTCAACCCTATACAGGGTTGTTATGAGTCGGAACCCACTCCACGGCACTTAATGAACAACAAAAACAATGCAGCAGTAAGAACTCCTGATGTGGCGCTGTAGGATCAGCACTGGACTGCGAACCACAAGGTCGGCAGTTCAAATCCACCAGGTGCTCCTTGGAAACCCTATAGAGAGTTACCATGAGTCAGAAATGACTCCACGGTATTTAAAAACAACAATGCACCAATGATTGTTTGTCACCTGCCTCCATCACCCCGGGACCCCTAGGTCCCAGTGCAGGGTCTGGCCCAAGAGACTGAACTTAGGCTGCCAGAGTCAGTAAATCAAAAGATACAACGCAGAGCTGCGGTTTTTAATTTTCAGATAACAAGAAAGAATGTTTTCGAATTTTACAGGCCAACCCTATGTTGGTGGATGAGATGCGAAAGAAAGGCCCGACCACTTGCCGGAGGCCCTAGGTGCTACAGGGCCACAGCCTTCTCAAGCACGCGCCGATTCTGAGAATCCTCAGCTAGCTCAAAGCCTGCTTAAAAGCTGTTCCTGGGCAACCACTTCCCGCAGGGTTTCCAGCGAAACAGCTGCCACATGAGCCGGTCTCTCCATAGGTCCCGATACATCACAACGACCTCTGCAAGGCTGACCATGCGTTCCGCAAGCACTACGTGGATTCTGTTGTTTTCACGGGTGAAATGCTCGAAGCTTCCCACCAGGCCAATCACCCTGTTAGGACTCACCAGCCTTCAGCTCGGTTACGGTCGCCATTTTCCAACGACCACCAGAGGCGCGCCTCTTCCGTGCGCACGCGTGGCTCCGCCCACTCCACGGCGCGGCGTGGAGTCCATAGGCGCTTAGCTCTATCGCTTGCACTCTCAGTGTATGCTCTCCGCGGAGGATGGGTGGGCCAGGAATGTCCGCCAGAGACTCTACCAATCAGCGAGCGCTGTGGGCGGGCCCTGATGAGGAAGAAGGAAATAGATGCAAAGACCAAGGCAGTTCTTACAGTGTACCTGTGGATGCTGCTGTAAAGACTCTGGTGCTGTAGGATAAGCTCTGGAGCACCGAGGTCGCTTTGAACCTCAAAGTTACGATTGAAACCCACCAGTAGCTCTTAGGAAGCCCTAGACAAGGGTCGCTATGAGTAGGAACCGTCTCGATGGCACTTAACAACAACAAAATACTTATATTGTATTTTGACTGTCGCCCAATACAGCACCTGGTGTGGCGCTGTCATATAAACTCTGGGCTGCGAACCACAGATCGGCGGTTCAAACCCGCCAGCAGCTCCTTGGAAACACTGTGCAGAGTCGCTATGAATCGGAATTGACTTCACGGCACTTGACAACAGCATCCTGATGTGGCGCTGTTGGATAAGCACTGGGCTGCTAACCACATGGTCCGCGTTTCAAATCCACTAGCAACTCCTTAGAACCAACGCGACGGCACTTATAACAACAACAGTAATACCTGCAGTCCTGGTGTGGCTCTTTAAGATAAGCACAGTATTGCTTAGCAGCACAACACTTAACCCACTGCGCCACAGGCTTGTGAATTTTAATGGATTGTAACTTCTTTTTTAAAATTCTGGTGTCAATATACACGACCAAACATGCATCCTTTAACAATTTCTACACGTGCTATTCACTGACATTGATGAGTGACTTTCTTTGGTTAGATCTTATATTAATTATATATTGGAATGATACTAACTTGGGTCTATTAAGCTTAATGACAGGAGTCTGGTGTGGTGCTGTAGGATAAGCACTGGACTGCATATCGGCTTGAAACGCAAGGTTGGCAGTTCAAACTCACCAACTGCTCGGCAGAAACCATATAAAGGGTCACTATGAGTCGTAAGCAACTCGCCGGCACTTAGCAACAACAACAAGTTAAGTGACATGTACTATTAAAATTGATTTCACCTGTTTGCTACTTTTTAATGTGGTTACTGAACATTTTTTTAATTACATATCTGATTTGCATTATGTTTCTATTGGACAGCGCTGTACGAGAAAAAAGAAGTAGGATTTCAAACTGTAAAAAAGGAAATAGGCCATTTGGGATCTTTGTTGTTGTTACGTGCTGTCAAGTCAGTTCCAATTTACAGCGGCCTTCTATAGGGTTTCTGGTAGCGTAGTGGTTACGAATCGGGCTGCGAGCCGCAAGGTCAGCAGTTCGAAACTACCAGCTGTTCCACGGGAGAAAGATGAGGCTTTCTGCTCCCGTAAAGATTTCCAGCCTCGGAAACCCTGTACAGGGTCGCTATGAGTCGGAACGGCACACAACAACATAGGGTTTCTGAGGCGGGAACAGAAAGCCTCATCTTTCTCCCGACAAGCTGCTGGTGGTAGACTTGAACTTCCAACCTTGTGGTTCACAGTTCAGTGTGTATACTACAGAGCCATGGTAACCCCCTTTGGAATCACTGGACATTTGAATAATGGATGAGTGAGTGTTTGATGATACTAAGGATGGGTTAACTTTATTTGGACAAACAGAAGATTGATTCTTTGACAGTTGAGGAAGCTAGCAGCCTGAATTCAGAGCACCGGCTCTAGGGAAAGACTTTCTCTCTGTTAGCTCTGAGGAAAGGTCCCTCTGTGAGCAACTGTAGGCCCAGCATTCCATGGATATCTCTGTGTGTCTTGGCATCAATTTTCCCAGGGATCTAAGAGCTTCACAACGCAGGGAGCTGATGTTCAAAGCACATACTCCACTCCATTCCCAACTCTTCTTTGTTGGTGGTAATATGTCCCTCCAGGACTTTTGTTGACTTTTATTGACATTTTCATTTTTAAACAGTTTTAGATTTACAGAAGCATTGTAAACACAGGGATTTGCTTTTTGTTTTTTTAAAGAAAGAATGAAAATAAAAACTAATCACATACAGTGAAGAAGAAATGACTCACACCCCTGGTAGAGCCAGAGTGGCGTGGAGAAAGTGTGCTGAGTTTGAAGAGTGGAGCCATTGCCTCTGAGTTGGACCAGGCCCTCATTCTGCTTCTCTGTCACTCCCCGGGACATCTCCTGCTCCACAAGATTCTGGGGGCAGGTTACCTGGGTCAGAATTGTGGCTTATCCACCCACTGTAGGGCAGTTCTAATCTGCTTTATAGGGTCACTACAGTTACATTCAACCGGACAGGTACCTGCAGCACCTGGAACTCAGCCCCACCTTCTGCTGCTCAGCTGCCATCTGCTTCTGTCCCAGAAGGAAGGAAGCTTGGAGAGAGGATGCAAGTATAAAGGTAACACAAGCTCATAACTCAAAACCTGGGCCCCCCCATGACAAACATGATTGTCAGAGCTCCTTCTCCCTGAAAACTCTAGGGGAGAAGGAAAGCTGCCTGGAAGAGGAGACTCTGGGTGAGATTTTTTGTAACTGATCTAGGTTCAAGCTTCAGCTGTACAAGTTTTCTACGATGCCCTCTGCCTTACCTCCATCACCAAGATGCTGGAAAACAAACAGCAACTACTGAGTATTTAGGAGGGGGCTTCCAAAAGAAACGATCCTGGAAGTTGTCCATGAACTTTTGGAAGCCCCTTTGAACTTAGTCTGGGACAGGTCCTATTCTGAGCATTTTACATTTTACTCACTAAAACCTGACAACACAGCCAGGGAGGTACATTTAATCCCATTTTACGGATGAGGAGACAGGTTGTTGTTAAGTGCTGTTGAGTTGGTTCCGACTCACAGTGACCCTGTATTGGCTTTCTAAGGAGCGGCTGGTTGAGTTTGAACTGCCGACCTTGCTGTTCAAACTGCCACTGGGGTTGAGTGTTTATCCTATAGAGCCACACCTGGACTCCAAGGCTGGCAGATAAAGAGACACATTGCCAGTAAGTGATGTTGTTGTTGAGTGCTGTCGAGTCAATTCCGACCTATAGCAACCCTGTATAGGGTTTCCAAGGAGCAGCTGGTGAGCTTGAACCACCGACCTTGCAGTTCAAATGACTTTACAGGTAGCCATAATTCTGATTTGTTGTTGTTGTTTGTTTAAGGATATTTCTTTATAAAAGTAACTTATATTGGAAACTAACTTACCTTCTTTTCCTAGTAATACTCAGTGGGAATACAAGGCAAATATAAAGAGATAGAACAGGTTTTACAATTGAAAAGGCTTTAGAAAGAGACTTAGTATAAATTATTTTTTAACCACAATTAATCAAAATTTGGTTCATTTTGATTGTCACCATTTGATAAAGTAGTACCTCCTTTCCACAGATCTGTTTGTTTAGGATTGTATCTGTTTAGGGTTGCTTTACAGAATTATGAGGTGTGGCTTTGTTATCAGCCCATCTAACTCCCCTGCTGTGTAGTTTTTTTCAAACCACAGTGACCCTACAGGACCAAGTAGAACTATTCCATAGTGTTTCCAAGATTGTAAACCTTTATGGGAACAGACAGCCTCATCTTTTCTTTCTCCCTCAGAGAAACTAGTGGATTTGAACCACTGACCTTGAGGCTAGCCACCCAATGCTTTACCTAATGGACTGTGGACGTACAATGTAATCTGAAGTTGGAGATATTGTTGCCTCTAACCAAAAACCAGATCCATTGTTGTTGAGTTGAATGTGACTCTTGGTGACTCCATAGGACAAATTAGAACTGCCCCACAGTGGGTGGGTAAGCCACAATTCTGACCCAGGTCACTTGCCCCCAGAATCCTGTTGTTGTTGTTGCTAAATGCTGTCAAGTTGGTTCGGATTCATAGCGATCCAGTGTAGGGTTTTCAAGGAGCGGCTGTTGAACTTGAACCGCCAACCTTGTGATTCAAACCCAAAATCCTGTATCTGCATCATATTATCTTCCAAGGAGATCAAGCAAGTGAAATAGTATTTGTCAAAATCCTCTAAATCATAGTTTCTCTCCCTCAACAAGACTGACATTTGGGGCCAGATCCTTCCTTGTTGGAGGTAGAAAGGGTGGGATTTCCTGTGCATTATGGGATATTTAACATCATCTTTGACCTCTACTCATCAGATGTCAATAGAATTCTCCCCTTTAAGAGTGAGGACTAAAAATGTAACAATATGTTAACTATAAAACTGCCCTCCGCATTAGGAACCACTCTTTTAAAAAGTAAGAGCATTTCTAAATCGAAGTGTCCATTCTCCTTATCATTAACAACAACAACAAAAAGAGGCTACATCCTGTATGATTTCAGTTAGATCACATTCTGGAAAAGGCAAAATACAGGGACAGAAAACAGATCTCTGGCTACACTGAGTAACTCTTGCTCTTTGCCTTGGGGCTTCTCTGCTGCCACAGTACTTGTAGGATTGATACATCATTCATTCATTGCTCAACTGTAAATTTCAACTTCTTGATGCAGGATGATTGCAACTGATCATATCAGGCAGCATAAATAGTCATTCATGAACTTCATAAAATCTGAATTCATGAACTCTGATTGTGATAAAATGAGCCAAGGGGATGTTATTGGATAAGCACTGGACTGCAAAGCCTCAAAGTTGGCAGTTCAAACCTACCTGCTGCTCCTAGAAAGATCTGCAGCCTTGGAAACTCCCAGGGTCACAGTGAGTCAGAATCAACAATGGCAGTGGGTTTGTTAAAATGGACGCATTTTTGTGTTCAGAGCCGTTGAGTCGGTTCCAACTCATAATGAAGCTGTATAGTGCTTCCGAGGCTGTGAATCTTTGTGGAAAGAAAGCCTCATCTTTCCCCCTTGGAACCTTATGGTTTGCAGTCCAGTGCTTATCTATCCTACAGTTACCATCGTTGTTGTTCAGTGCCGTTGAGTC